AAAGATCCCATATACGGATAGATTTATCTGAACTACATGATGCTAATGTTGTACCATCCGGAGAGAAACAGACTGATTTAACCCAACTATTATGACCGTCAAATTTATTTAACTCATATATTTTAATATTTTTCCATTTACAATTGAATAAATAAGCACCATTCAAGTTCATTCCACTAATGTCTACATTATTAAAATAGGATCCATTGAGATTGCATCGTACAAAATTTGCACCAATTAAAGATGTATCTCTTATTTATATATTCTCAAAGCTTTGACCACTAATATCCACCTTCATCTCTACTAATAAATTGAGTGAATTGGATCCACATTAGATAAATCTCTCATCGAAAGCAGTAAGGTGAACTAAGAATTTCAAAAATTCAATTATATCCTTATCATAATATATTTTTTTCATCAACTCCTTTTTAATTTTTTCATATTCTTCAGATGAATAATTTTTCTTATTAAAATCAACCTCATATATATTTTTGATAATATTAGCAAAGAGCTATATGTTTCTAATTCCAGTCTCCTCTAATTTTTGAGTGTTTGATAGATACTTGAGACAATCGGTGACTTTATCACATTTTAGCATTTCAATAATAACGCTGTAGAGTTATTGATCAATATATTTAGATTAAGCCAAAACCACATACAAATCTTCATTCAACTCATTTTTATGATTCATTTCTTTATTTTATTAAATAAGATTGAATTTTTAATATTTTATTTTGAATTTTATATATTAAATCAAGAGAGTGTGTCATGTAAAAGTTTGTTATAAAAAGCAAACCTTTTGAAAGATTCGAAATAAATTAAAATAGCGAAAACTCACTAAACCTATGTATGGCTTTCTTCTTAAAGAATATAGATTATTTGTTAAATAAATTGTTAACAAATTTTGATACAATTTTCATTATCTCTTGGAGAAAATATCAATTCTTTGTTACTTTGAATTCATGATTTAGCTTGAGGCTAAATCAATTTATTTCTGACAAGATCTTTTTATACTATCTATGATATCATATTATAAAGAGAAGATACATTTTTTTAATATATATTAATTACCAATTCAATAAGAATTCGCTTTGATCGAAGAAAAATCAAAATCATGTCAATATTCCCCTTCCCTTAAATATCATTAGTAGTTTCTCTTTACCATATATTATCACTCAGGTGAGTTTGAGATTGTGTAATAAGGTTTTGTATAAATTCAAACATAGTTTAGAAGAAACATTTACATCACAAAATTTTTGACAATCGGCATTTATATTTGTTGGTTCTTGCCAATTAGTTCTTATTAAATGGAAATAATTCTTTTAACTTCATCAAACTCTATTACCGGAAGCTCTATTTATATTATCCTTCAATAGAATTCATGAATTGTTTTCAAATTTTCTTATATTATTTTGGATATTTCTTCCTATCTATGCACAATATTGTTTCGTAGATTAGTACATAGTTTTAATAATAATATCGAATCAATATATTATTTTTACTGAGTATTCAGATGATTTGCCATCACCTCCACTTCTGGCAACCTGATTGATAACAATTGTTTCATTTTTTTTATAATAATTCATAATTTTCCTTCTCAGTTTACTCAATAATTGTAAATTATGAATATATAAGGAATAAACATAGAATAAGAGTTTGATGGAAAAATTTTATTCAGTTCTGGAAGAAAAATGGAAATGTGAATGTCGTTGATAAAATAAGAGCAAGAGCACTAATGCGCAATCTACGCAATATCAAGCTGGTTGACCCACCTGGAATAAGAAAAACAAGTAGTTTCTATGTCTAGCCATATAAATATTTTGAGATTTGTTTTAAAAAATAGTTTTGGATTTGAATGTATCTGATGATAAAAGTACATAGGCAGTGGGAGAAAAAATAAAAGAACTTGCATAAAAGAAAGCAAGTATGTAGATCTGTCACCACAATAACGCCATATAGCATATTATTTCAAATCATATTTAATGAAATATATTTAATCATGCAGATGACTGATGCATCATCCTTTATCTGAATACAATTAACAAGGACTAAAACTAAATATTTATCCATTGGCGCTATGTCGCATGAACCCCTCCAGTCAATA